GTAACGATAACGATAGTTATCCGCCGTACGTAGTGAGTGTTTGATTACATAATTCATAATGATAAATTAGAAGAGCTCTTAAAAATTTATACGTACAGAAATGTACATACGTACCAGAAAATTTATCAGTGGCTTGGCTTTTGTAGATGTTACTAACAATTTATTTGTACTACACACGTATACTAAATATATAGATAATATATAGTAGACTACAGTAATGATAATTTTTGGTTCATAAATACGTATATGTGTACGTAATAACTTATTCGTCAGTTTTTTGTAAACATAGGAATTCTTGGGGTAGATTTTCTTTAAAAAATTTGTATACGTATATTTTTTAGATAAAAAAGTCATAATAGTTTAAAATACGTAAAAGCGGTGTTTATGTTACTACAGCGACTGTTTGAGATATCAAAAAGCGCTAAAAAAATTTTGCAGATCATTTACTTATACATTATTTATGTACATACTACTGTGAAAATGCTAACTTATCGTTTTGTACCAAAAAAAAAACCATCTTTTTTTTATATATCACTTATATATATTTAAGAATCTAGCGGACATATATTAATGTCGAACAAGAAAAGATGAAAAACAATCGCAAAACATCACGTTATCAATTTAAATTTTTTTTTTTTTATTAACAGAATAAGTAAGGGGAATTTAAGTAATTCGGCAAATCTGTCCAAATTGGTTAAAAGCAAGTAAATGTCATATGAACAATTATGTGAGTGTTAGCAGATATATAGAGATTACTTTAACAATCATGCAAAAAAAGAATCGTGAAAAAAAAAAGATCGTTGTTTGTGTACATTACTGTGTAACATTAAAAAAATCAACAATATAAAGGATCTCAAATTCTTAACGAGCGAGATGCACTGGTAATAACGTTTAGCTTATCAGGTAAATAAATAATACTAATCAACTAATAAATGTACTATGGTCCATTCACGAGCTATTTTTGAATATTAGACGATAAATTATGGCAAGTGGTCTTAAACTTACAGAGTTTGTAAAAAGGCCTGGCCTTGGTACAAAAGGAAAACGTGTGCGAGTTCGAGCGAATTTTTTTGAAGTTACTGCTCTACCTGAAGCCAATATACATCACTATGATGTTACAATTACTCCTGACGTACCACCTGCTTTGAACAGAAAAGTTTTTAAACGGTTTGAAGAGATTGAACGTAATGGTGGCTTAGGAGATGTTAAACCTATCTTCGATGGTCGAAAAAACATTTTTACTTCAAAACCTTTACCATTCGGAGAGACAGCGACCTTCGACGTAAATATTCCAGAAGATGATGGGATAACGTCAACAAAGCGTCCACCACGTTCTTTCAAGGTTAAAATTAAAAAAGTAAACTCAATTAATATGGAAGAACTGCGCAGATTCTTAGAAAGTAAATCAGAATTGACACCAAATTGTTTGACAGGTTAGGCTATACTCAATTACAAAGTTCAATTACAAGTATTTTGGATAATTTAATTTTGTTATCATTAAATTAATTATGAAATTATATATACTTTTATAATAATGGGTTTATAGCTATCATGGCACTTGATGTTTTGGTTCGCCATCAACCATCAATGACATATAATACTGTCGGAAGATCATTTTATACCCAAGAAGGTTCACAAGCTCTTTTCGGTGGTGTCGAAGTATGGCAAGGGTATTATCAGTCTGTTCGACCTGCGCCTAACACAATGATGATAAATATCGATTTGAGCGCCACAGCATTTTTCGAAGGTGGGCCATTGGTCCAAATGGTATTGAAGCTGCTTAATAAACGTTCCGCTGATGAATTACGTCGTGGAATAACCGATAGAGATCGTGCAAGGCTTGAAAAATCATTAAAAAAACTTAAGATCAAAGTTACACATAGAGGTGATACAGTAGCGAAACGTCGGTTTAGGATTCTTAAAATTACGCCTACACCTGCCTCTGCGACCAAATTTGATGTTGGTGAAGGTCAAACTACTGACGTGGCCTCGTACTTTCAAAAGACTTACAACATGCGTCTTAATTATCCGTTCCTTCCTTGTGTCGTGATTCGAAAGGAAAATTATCTTCCTATGGAAGTTTGTGACGTAATTGAAGTGAGTTAAATATAATTTGAACAATTTCTTGATGAATAAACGCGTTAACTAATAACTAGAATTAAAAAAGTTGATCTAAGATGTTTGATAATTATTTATTAATTTTTTCATGAATTTTTTTTTTTTTAAAAAAAACTTTTTTAAGGGTCAACGACATACTCGAAAACTCAATGAAAGACAAACTGCCGATATGATTAAATTTACATGTCAGCAACCTCATATGCGAGCGAACAAAATTAAACGCGGACTTGAGATTCTCAACTATCGTTCAAATCCATACCTTCAACAATTTGGTATGAAGGTTTCGAATGAAATGGCGGTGGTAAATGCACGCGTTCTACCTACACCTACTTTACAATACCATCAATCTTCTAGGGAATCATCTTTTTCTCCCAGAGATGGCTCATGGAATTTGAGAGATAAAAAGGTTGCAACAGGTGCAACTCTTGGTTCATGGGCTGTAATCGCGTTTGGAAGTGAACGTGAGATGCAGATGCAAGCTATCCAACATTTCGTTAGGGAACTTATCATTACTTGTCAGGATACTGGCATGAATATACCAAATAGAACCCCTCCTATATTGCACGCTAACCCACATGGTGACATTGAAGGTTCTGTTAAACAAGCTTGGGTTCGTGCTGGTAACACGGCTAAGAATAAACCACAATTGTTGTTATGTATATTACCCAATACGGGAGTTGGATTATATGCTGAAATTAAACGAGTTAGTGATACTGTTATCGGAGTGGCGACTCAATGTGTTCAAAGCAAGCATATGTTTTCAGCGAAAAAGCAGTATTGTGCAAATGTGTGTCTTAAGATGAATGTGAAACTTGGAGGAATGAATTCATATATCCTTCCAGCTGAAGTGCCATTTATTTCTGAAAGACCAACCATTTTAATGGGTGCAGATGTTACGCATCCAGCTCCTGGTGATACAAATCGCCCATCCATTGCTGCACTTTGTGCTTCAATGGACGCTAAGGCATCAAGATACGCTGCTTCAATTAGAGTTCAAACTGGTCGTCAAGAAATTATTTCCGATCTATCTGGTATGTGCAAAGAATTGTTAAAAACTTTTTATCAAACTTGTGGGAAAAAACCAGATAGAATTCTATTTTACCGCGATGGTGTCTCTGAGGGTCAATTTTCACAAGTTCTCGAAGGAGAGATTAAAGCAGTAAGAGGTATATATTATTTATTTTATTTTTTATTTATTATTATTATTATTATTATTTGATAAACATTTCAACATTTTGTTATCTTATTAAAATTCTTCCAAATTAGCTGCATGCAGAGGACTTGATGCAAACTATAAACCCAAAGTGACCTTTGTTGTTGTACAAAAGCGACATCATGCTCGATTCTTCCCAATGGATAGAAAAGATGCGGATAGAACGGGTAATTGTATGCCGGGAACCGTAGTTGAGTCGCAAATTACCCATCCATTTGAATTTGACTTTTATTTACAAAGTCATGCGGGTTTACAAGGGACGTCCCGTCCTACACATTATCATGTATTATATGATGAGAATGGATTTACTCCAGATTCACTTCAAACCCTTTCCTATAATCTATGCTATGTGTTTGCACGATGTACGCGTGCCGTAAGTTTAGTGCCTCCTGTTTATTATGCACATTTAGTGTGCGCTCGAGCTCGTTTCCATTCACGTGGGGAAAATTGGAATGATACCGAAGGTACTTCTGAAGAAAGCACCAGTACTGCTTTAACGTTTGGCACTGTAAAACCAGAATTGCAGAAAGTCATGTACTTCATGTGAGGGTCAGAAAATTCTGGATTATTGGATAAAAAATTTATTATCAAAATTCGCAATAATTATATTTTAAAACGAAAGTTTTCTTGGCGAATATATGTTTTATTATCATAACATTGATTAATAAAACTGTTGAAGCTAAAACTTGAGTTATTTTATTTCGCGTAATCAAGTGCATCGCTTGCTTATATTATGTTTGATGTGAATAGAACATAAATAATAATACACTTATTGCTCTATAACAATTATATATATCGAGTTAAAATGGATTATTAGTTTATTTATTACTAGAATTATAGAGATTATTAACAAGAAATGATTTCTGTATTTGACATTTGTTTTTATATATCAATATATAACAGTATCATATATAAATATGTATATATACAAATCATTTTGCAATACAGCTGAAACATTGTCGAATAGCACGTGCATAGAATGTTTTAATAAATATCTTATCAATTATATAATTTTTTGTACTTAAATTGATAATCTATTTTTATTTTTTTTTTTTCATATAATACATAATAAGTTACCTCCCCGTGTGTAGTATCCTTTATTATAGGAAATTTGTGAAATACCTTAACGTTAAGTCATTGACGCAATTGGAAGATTAGAAGGATGGGAATTGGAAGAATGGAAGCTTCCAATTTTCAATAAAAACTATTAAAAGCTTCCAATGCGAGAAGGGGTATACATATTGATATAATATATATAGTATAGTATAGTAATATATTGTAATTATTGGAATCTTACGAGTACGTAGAAAAAATTGAGAAAGCTCAATTCTAATAAAAATCTTCCAATGTTAATCACTCACTGCCTTTGCTGTTATAAACGTATTTACCCATTTTTCGGTCACATTGAGTTATATGCCTTATGTCACCTTCTCTATTATTTAATTTTGTTTATCGCTCCCAAGACTTTATTTAATACATAATATATATGTGATTATTATGTAAAATCTAAAACTACGTATAAAATATATATAATGTTTGTTCTCTTTAAATTAGGGACGTACTTAGTTCACAGCTAGCTAGACTTTAATATGTAGAGCTAAATAGTCGACTTATTTGACTAAGGTAAACCAAGAACTGCACCAAATAAGCCGTGGTTTTATCCTTAACGTTAACCAGGACCAACCTAATAAGTAACTTTAATGAGCCAAAATATTTTGTGTAAAATCAGGACTTATCTTGTATAAGACTAAACTTACCTTGGGAATGTCGTAATGTTCTGTCATTTCTTCTAATTTTCTATTTAATTCCTGAATAAACAAGTTTTATGCGTAAATTTTTAAATAAAAAAATTGTTCTAGTTTTTGTTTACTAGAATATTTATTTACCGCCACACGTTCTTTGTGTGATTTTCTCGCAGCCTTTTCTACCTTTTCATCCAACTTTGGATATTATTAATAAAAAAAATTTTGATTATTATTAATTTGAATTACACTAACGTTAACGATAACAAAAATAATAATAAGAAAATTTACCCTCTTTCTTTGAATCTCTTCGAACTTCTTTTCTGCCTCAGTTTTAGTTACAACACGAATCGGTTTACTGGTTTCTTCTTCAATTATCTCTTTAGCTAATGCTGCTAGTTTATCTTTTTCTTTTTTTTTCTTTTTTTTTCTTTTCAAAAAATAAAAAGTTGGTTTTTTAAAAAAAGGCAATCTTTACAAGACCAAATAATGATTAAAGGTGAAGTTAAAAATATATTTACTTTTTTTCAACACCGCCTTTAAGTCTTAGAGCACCACCCGGAACATTGTCATATTCAGACATTGTCGGAAGACGGAGCAATAGAATAGACGCGATCTTATTACAATATTAGACGAATACAAATAAACTAGCATATTTATAGCAGTGTAATCAGTTCTAAATCAGTTTAAACCGTAATTAAATGTTGATATCCCTTTGCACTCCATATTGTTAATTTTGTGATCCCACTGGAAAAAAATACTAATGGCTTAATCTATTTCACCATTAAATTGTCACGAGTGATCTATGATCGAACTATATTAGACTAAGACTTATCGCATTGTATTTCTGTATGACGATACTTATTACATTATTACAGTATTAATGTCCAGTGTAATGTTCACACTTCAATACAAAATAAATATACATTAAAATATTGATAATGAATTTACTATTTTTTGTTCAGTTCACACTTGTTATAAACCAGTACACTTGTAATTTTTAAATAGCATTACATCTTGAACAATTCTCAATTGAGCAGTATCTAATTGTGTTAAAATGAATTCTAAATCACTTAAAGCTTTTGTTTCATTTTCTGTCAATAATTGAATAAATGTATTATTATTTAATTGTTTGAGTGCATCTTCCTTTTCTTTTTTATCCAATAATCGTGCAGCACCAGATTCTTGTTCAAACCTGACTTGATGAATATTTGCAAGCGTACGGTAATAGTTATTAAGAATTATTTCATAGCATTTGTTGTAGTCAACGTACCAAAAGAAGAAGGTACGTGATGGCGCTCGATCTCCGGATCTTGGTACTTCCTGAAATGAAGGAATTGTAATAATCATAATCAGAAAAATTATTTTTTAATAATACAAATTGATAATTAAATATTTTGTAAATTACTTGGACTTGAGCAAATCCGCCGTTAAGTAATTCAATAAGTTTTTGTCGAACATCTGTTACACTCATCAAAGTAAATGTGGTAATCTAAAAAAAAAAAAGCATTCATTTAACCGTGCCAATACAGTCAAAACATTGAAAAAACAATTACTAACCGCTTTTTCATCTAATTTTTGTTTTACATGTAAAACTTTCAAAATTCTTGCTCCCTTTACGCCAAATTTTTCTAATATAATATTTTCAAAAACTTGTTGCTTCAAAGATTCACACAATGCATTATAACTAACAAAATACATTCCACCCATATTTTCATCTTTTTTACATAAAATATTTGCATCATCATCAATCAGACAATCTAAATATTGCTTAATAAGAGATTCACGGGTAACAGTTTTTCCTTTTTCTGTTTTCATCTGTTGAGAAAACAGTTCATCTTTGCTTTCTGGAATATTTTTAAGAATTCTATGTAATGAAATAGAACCTATAAAAATAATAAAACGTTAAACAAAAGCTTCTCGTATTTAAATATAATGAATTTTATGAAATATATTTACAAGATTCAACTTCACTTGCTTTATCACAATCTGCAATGTCTAGAATATATTTTATAATAGCTCCCGCAGAACGATTAAGACGATCCCTAACGAACTTTGCAAAACGCTATGAAACATATTAAAAGTAAATTTATGTAAAGTGCATAAGAATTCATCAAAAATAAAAATTCTAATTTGATTAATACTTTATTTCTTTCTTTAACGTTAAATTTTTCATAATTCACTCGAAAATATTGATTTTCCTAATATAAAAAAAATTATGTGATATCGATAAATATCTGAAAGTGAATTCGGAATACTGCATTGTATGTGATCAAAACTTACATCAATTGTTATCTCTCCTTTATGTTGCTGAAACGTTAAATCAAAGATTTATTATCATTAGGCCTTCGTTATATTATACCAGCTAAATAAAAATTCACATGAGAGAAATATTTTAAATTCTGACCTTTGTTGGTCTATCCAAATTTTCCAAATTTAATTTGCGTTTCTATTATAATTTTTTTTGTGAAAAATATGTTAGTTTTTTACTAAATATATTGTTATTAGTAGCCAAATAAAACCTTAATAAATAATATTAGACTGTTACCGATCCAGTTGCAGTATCATCCGAATCAAGATTAGCTGCTAATTTGGCTTTAGCTTCGGCCATTTGTTTTTTGGTGGGTATGAAATTGGTTACTTTTGCTAATTCTCGTTGTTCTGCCTCAGAAGCTTTATCTCTAGCAGATTTTGAATCGGCAAAATCAACTGATAAAATATATTTTTTTTCAATCATTTTGGAAAAGGTTTCCTTGATATCTTTGTATCCTAAAAATAATAATATCGATAATTATTATTTACGTGTCTTACGTTCTAATTAAGAATTTACATACTTACTGCTTGATTTCTTGTTAATTTTTAGGTCTTCAACTAATCCTGCAAAGGTCACTTTACCATTAAGCAATATATATTTAACAAGTTCGCTCGCATGCTATTGAAATTAATAATTAATAAAGCTTTATAATATAAAATTTTCTTTTTAAGATACTAGATAAATATTTACTCTTGATTCGATCCATTCATTAGCGTTCTTTATATAAATACCGAAATTTAACCTTGCCAAAATTTCGTCTTTTTCAATAGAATAATAAATTCCAATTCTTTGACTTTCTCTTGCATCAGCCCAGTATACCAAATTATGTTGGATCAGTATGAAAAGACATTCTCGAGTTTTAGTCAAAGTAAATTTTGATAGTTTAGCGATTACTGGCAAAGTAAGTCGGCCTTTTTGTAAAAGAACTTTGGCAACTTGCTTTATGTGTAATAGTAATTCTTAGTTGATTTTTAAAAAACAAACTATGAAACTGAAAGCAGGCACCCTACTTCAACGATTGGTCCAAAGTCGTCTCGAATAAGGTAACAGCATAAACGAATGAGTGTTTCAGCCATATTGCTAGAAATGCGTAATTCGAAGATTTGAAGATTTATCGCGTTTTTTGCTTTTATAACAGATCGCGAGATAACAGATAAAAGTCACATGATCTTATGCATATCAGATCATATCAGATGCAAAACATTCATTTTTGATACTCCTGCACCTACTTTTTTGATACGCAGATCCCGGTAAAAATAAAAAACTTAAAACCTTTGAGCGAAGATATCTCGACAACTATCTGTTTGAATCTGTTAAAACCTTTTCAATTTGAATTATATGGATTCATAGAATTCAAATAAAAAAAATTTCGTCGAATTTAGTCATGTGGTTGTCGAGATATTTTTGCTCAAAATTAGAGGATAATCAAAGCGCCTATAAAAATAGGAGTTGCGCAAAATTTTCTCTAACTTTGAGCGAAGATATCTCGATACCCACCTGACCAAATTCGATAAAACCTTTTTTGTTTAAATTTTATGGATTTATAAAAAAATTATTATCGAATTTAGTCAAGTGCTATCGAGATAACTTCGCTCAAAATTAGAGAAAAATCAAAACGTCTATCAAAATAGAAGCTACGCCAGATTTTCTTTCTAACTTTGAGAGAAGCTATCTCGATAACCATCTAACCAAATTCGATAAACCGTTTTTATTTGAATTCTATGGATTAATAGAATTCAAATAAAAAATTTCATCGCATTTAATCAAGTGGTAGTCGAGATATCTTCGCTCAAAGAGAAAATCAAAAAGTGTATCAAAATAGAATCTGCGCCAAATTTTCTTTCTAACTTTGAGCGAAGTTATCTCGACACCCACTTGACTAAAATGCAATGAAATTTTTTTATTTAAATTTTAAGAATGCATAAAATTGGAAGAAAAAAGTTTTATCAAATTTGGTCAGACCGTTATCGAGATATCTTCGCTCAAAGTTAGAGAAAATTTGGCGCAGCTTCTATGTTTTTATTTTTCTCTAATTTTGAGAGAAAATATCTAGATAACCACTTGACTAAATTCGACGAAAATTTTTTATTTGAATTCTATGAACCCACAGGATTCAAACAAAAAAAGGTTTATCGAATTTGGACAGGTGATTATCGAGATATCGCTCAAAGTTAGAGAAAAATATGTCGCTTCTATTTTGATAGGCGTTTTTAATTTTGAGCGAATATATCTCGACAATCACATGGTTAAATTCGATGAAATTTTTTTTTATTTAATTCTATGAATCCATAGAATTCAAATCAAAAGGTTTTACAGATTAAAGCAGATAGTTGTCGAGATATATTCGCTCAAAGTTTTTAAAATTTTTTATTTTTTACTGGGATCTGCATGATCAGTATCAAAAAAATAGGTGCAGGAGTATCAAAAACGAATATTTTGCATATCAGATATGTAAAAGGAAAATGATGCAACGAGCAAGAAATTTATTAGATTAATTATTTAATGCCGAATTTGCTGTTTTGGCATGCCTCCCGCTTCTATTCTCTTTATTTCTTCCGTTTCTTCCCATTCATCCTCCTCTTTAACTTCTATTGCCCCTTCCTCCTCATCATAGTGACGTATATCATATCTTTTCCCTCTTATCCCAAAAATTCCCCAATTTGGATAGACACCAATTCGTACGTCTTGTATATCAATGTCTCTTCGTAAACTTTTAAACTCATTTTCACCTGGTTCTAATATCCAATCAAATTCAAATGTATCATCCTCTTCTATTGTTTGAAGTTCGTTTTTTCATATCATTCTCATCAAATGCGGTAATAAAAATAGCGCATTTAGTTTTCAACAACTGTTTAATCGTTTTCTCCCATAATTCTTTTCCGTTATTTCGACCTATACCAGGGTTAAAAAGAAAGAACGCGTCACAATATGGATCAAATGGATATATTGTATCATGATAATCATGATATAAAGAATTTTTCCATGTAAATGAGAGATAATGGTTAAAATGTGTTGTATATGGTTCAGTTCCACGTGGAAGCGATTCTGGGCCAACGAAATGAAAATGAAATGTTATGGTTGGGAATAAATATGAAAGTTGTGTATATAGATGTAAAGGTAATTGTGCTTCGGCTCGTGCACCAATGATAAAGATTCGGACCGTTTCTCCGGGTCGAAGTGTTTTTATGTCAATACTAGTTTGTTTTGGATGCAAGGTCGTTCTCAATGCTTAGATAATGAAAAATAGATCATATGTTAGTAATATGCAATAAAAAAGGAAAAAAAAAAGTCTCTAGCAAATCTACCAGTTAACGACTTTAAGCCTTCGGTTGTCAATCGATTTCGAAGTGTATAAGGACCATTTTGGTGTAAAACGGAAGCAATGGTTATCGGGTATGTTAACACTTTAGACACGTGTCTCAATGAACGATCAAGGTCTATACTTGGAAATCCTCTCGTGTACAAATATGTGTCCCAATTTAACAAATTAATTTCTTCATCAAGTGGTTGTGAACCTGTAAGCAGTTATAGTATCAATAAAGTAATTTAAAAAAATAATTTTAAAATGATTTCAGATAAACTTACTCGGAAATTCAAATTCAGTCATTTTTTCTACCACTCATTAAATCATGCATATCTTCATTGAATTCTCTTAACATTTTACATGTATGCAATTTATGTTCAATTAAGTTATTTTTATAATGTTCTTCTGAACAATGAGTAGGAATTCCACAATCTGGACATTCATAAGCTGGCTTCTTTTGGTTCTCTTTAGCCAATTCTTCACAGACTGGACATTTACCGAATTTTCTAATTAATTCACCTCGTTCTTGAAGACTTTTTATTGGGGATTTTGAAAACGGATGAAATAAATTATCGTTTCGAAGTTTAATTTGAGAATCCGTCTTATTGTTGTTAGGTGAAATCATTTTCGAAAATGGTGAAAGACGAAACTTAGAGCTGGTGAACCCCCTGGATAAAGATGAAACCCCTGGCGAAAAGCGAAACACCTGGCTAAAAGCGGAACCCCTTGCGACCCCCGGCAAAGGGTGAAACAGAAATCCCTGGCTAAATATGAAGCCTCTGGAGAAAGACGTCTTGAAGCTCTAATAAAAACAAAAGGCAGAGCTATGCTAGTAAAAAAAAAATATATATATATATATATATATATATATATATATTATGATAACTGTTCGACACAAACATACCATTGTTGCTTTATATATAAATTCAAAGATAGAATTCTGTTTTTTTTGGTAGTACTTTTATATCGGAACAATGCAATTCGATGGGATTTTTTTTTTAGATAATGATAACGCCTTTAAATATCAAGAAAATTATCATTCATCTCCATACGATGCATCCCCTAAATTAGGATTTGATTCAGGTAAGGCAATAGTTAAAAAATTATTTAAGCAAAAAAATTTTTTTATTATAATGAAATTGCAATTTTAAAGGCAAAATTCCGAGTTAGAAGCGGAAGCTATTTTTTTTATCAATTGCTTCCTAACTAGATCCTGCACCCTGATTGGCCGATCAAGAGTAGCGATGAATTACTCGATCTGACAAAGATCATGAGTTTAATATTTGTGCGGCATATGAGTAATTGAGTACAAGAAAAACTCAAAGTGCACCCTCCATATACAGTATGAACGTCCTCTCTAACCCCCATACTCTGCACACCGAATGAGTACTCTTTGAATTTACTTTGTGCCCGAGTTGCCACGAACTCAATTACATTTGTTTTATACACCTCATATATTACATGTCGCGGATTACAGGATTAACGTGAGGATTGCCCAACTGGAGGCAATCTCGTGATTTTTATTTGCAGTATAAAAACTAACATGAAGCGGGCCCATATATAAGCCCTATTAATACATCTCCACCCCAATAATTCTGTCCCTAAAAGCCCCCAAAAACTCAACCCTCAAACACAACCAAATCCAAAAAAAAAAATAAATTATGCTTTATATTTTTAAGAGACTTATTTATCTAATAATAATAATAATAAAT